GCCACCTCCGAGGGTTTGACGATGACACAGTTACCTGGGGGGAGATCGACAGGACATCAGAGCAGCGACATGGTGACAGCCAGCCCCTCTGACACCCCAGCCGGGGGACAAGGTGCCCTCGCTGGTGCCTGGCACTGCCTGGATCCTCCGGGCCAGGGGACGAGTTTGGCTCACCGGCAGCGACGGCCCCGATGAGGGGCACCAGGAGGATGTGGATGGGGTAGTTCCAGGGCGTGATGATGAGCACCACCCCGTACGGGTCCTTGTGGATGAAAGCGGAGTCCAGCCGGGTCACCTGCGGGACACCCACCGCGTCAGGAGTGCTTCGTTGCACCAATGTCTCCATGCCCACATCCCACCCATCTCTGCCCGGCAGGTGGGTCCTTCCCCCCATCCTCTCCCTCACCTTCCCCCTTACCAGATTCCTGTCCACGTGCTCGTCCTTCACCCAGTCGGACAGGTTGTTCAGCGTCTCGTGAAGCTCGTTCTTGCAGAGGAGGATCTCGGAGAGTTCGGCTTCGAAGGGCGGCTGGGGACCCAGAGCACCCCACGTGTCAGTTCTGCGTGTGCTTCAGCAGCTCTTAGCCCTAGCCTGCATATTTTTTTACCCAGGATTTGGGGACCCGAGCCCTTCGTGTCCCGTGGTGGATCAGCACTTTGCTCTTGCCCCCAAGCTGCACCATGGGGAGGGGGTGAGCCCCACCACGTCTGCGGCGTTGGGGTTTGGTGAGCTCCGAAATCCTGTTGCGATATCACCGGGCCAGTCCTGTCGGCAGTGACCTGCCTGCGGCCGGGCTTTCCCTGCTGCGAGCTCAGCTGAGGTTTGGGAAAATTAAATATTTGGGGAGGAGAGGGGGTCTGTGAAGGCAGTGGTGGTGTTTTGGGGAAGAAAGGGCCGGTCTGGCTATTGAGACCTGTTTGGTCTGGAGACAAGAGCATCCCGAGTCACAACTCCTTTTTCTATCACATTTTCACACCGGCACAATCGAAACAAGTGAGTTGATGGACTCCAGCAGGACGGGCTATTTTTTCAGGACCTGCCAGAGTTTAGCTCAGGTAAGAGTCTGCAAGGATTTAGCCCAATAAATAAAAGCTCAGAAGAGATCTGGGCGCAAATCCCCCCGGCACGCCCCTTCACCTGGCTTTGACTTTCCCACCGTGGACATGTCACCGGCATGGGTGGTGCTGACGTCCAGCTCTGCCAGCAGCTCCTCACCTTCCATCGAGGGGGGACCGCATCCCGGGCTGCTGGGCACGTGGACGCTGGCTGAGCGTGGAGGAAGGAGGTACGGCAGCACCTGAAACCAGGGATGGTGCGGCGCCCGTGTGTGCAAGGCAGGCACGGTGCTGGGAGGGCGCGGGGCACAGCTCGGTGCGTGCAGGGGGTGGGAACACCCCAGCCATGAGACAAGGACAGGGAGAGCTTCTTACATTGTCCAGGTAGCTGGGCAGCACTTCAGCCACGAGTCTCTCAGTGTTCTTGGCCACCTCCGAGGGTTTGACGATGACACAGTTACCTGGGGGGAGATCGACAGGACATCAGAGCAGCGACATGGTGACAGCCAGCCCCTCTGACACCCCAGCCGGGGGACAAGGTGCCCTCGCTGGTGCCTGGCACTGCCTGGATCCTCCGGGCCAGGGGACGAGTTTGGCTCACCGGCAGCGACGGCCCCGATGAGGGGCACCAGGAGGATGTGGATGGGGTAGTTCCAGGGCGTGATGATGAGCACCACCCCGTACGGGTCCTTGTGGATGAAAGCGGAGTCCAGCCGGGTCACCTGCGGGACACCCACCGCGTCAGGAGTGCTTCGTTGCACCAATGTCTCCATGCCCACATCCCACCCATCTCTGCCCGGCAGGTGGGTCCTTCCCCCCATCCTCTCCCTCACCTTCCCCCTTACCAGATTCCTGTCCACGTGCTCGTCCTTCACCCAGTCGGACAGGTTGTTCAGCGTCTCGTGAAGCTCGTTCTTGCAGAGGAGGATCTCGGAGAGTTCGGCTTCGAAGGGCGGCTGGGGACCCAGAGCACCCCACGTGTCAGTTCTGCGTGTGCTTCAGCAGCTCTTAGCCCTAGCCTGCATATTTTTTTACCCAGGATTTGGGGACCCGAGCCCTTCGTGTCCCGTGGTGGATCAGCACTTTGCTCTTGCCCCCAAGCTGCACCATGGGGAGGGGGTGAGCCCCACCACGTCTGCGGCGTTGGGGTTTGGTGAGCTCCGAAATCCTGTTGCGATATCACCGGGCCAGTCCTGTCGGCAGTGACCTGCCTGCGGCCGGGCTTTCCCTGCTGCGAGCTCAGCTGAGGTTTGGGAAAATTAAATATTTGGGGAGGAGAGGGGGTCTGTGAAGGCAGTGGTGGTGTTTTGGGGAAGAAAGGGCCGGTCTGGCTATTGAGACCTGTTTGGTCTGGAGACAAGAGCATCCCGAGTCACAACTCCTTTTTCTATCACATTTTCACACCGGCACAATCGAAACAAGTGAGTTGATGGACTCCAGCAGGACGGGCTATTTTTTCAGGACCTGCCAGAGTTTAGCTCAGGTAAGAGTCTGCAAGGATTTAGCCCAATAAATAAAAGCTCAGAAGAGATCTGGGCGCAAATCCCCCCGGCACGCCCCTTCACCTGGCTTTGACTTTCCCACCGTGGACATGTCACCGGCATGGGTGGTGCTGACGTCCAGCTCTGCCAGCAGCTCCTCACCTTCCATCGAGGGGGGACCCCTCGATGTTCGTCCTACAGCTGGGTTTCTTCTCACCCAGGAGTACGGTGGAAGGTGAGGTGGATGGGGACTGGCGGGCAAGTGGCAGGTTCGAAGGATAAAACCAACCAGTTCTGGGGCGTATCCACCACCCAGGTGCCAAGATTTGGGAGGAAATACGGGAGAAAAGGGAATATCCAGATTTTGGAGCCTGTTTGTGCGGGGTTTTTTGGCAGAGTGAGCTGAGAAAGCGGGGAGGGGATCCACCACCGAGCCTAGGAAGGAGGGAGAGCAGGAAGCAAAGGCTTCCAGAGGTTGTCCTCAGCAGGGTGGGAGGAGGGACGGTCATGCGGAGAGGGAATCCGAAGGGCGGAGGAGTTTGGGAGCAGTGCAGGCGTGTGGCTCGGCACGACGCGGGGAGGAGAAGCAAGCTCAAGGAAGAAGCTGGGCTGCCCCTCCAGGGAGAGAGAAAGCAGGCAGCACGAGCAGACCGATGTGTCGGATGTCTCTTCCGAGCAAAAGGGAACCTCGGGCAAATGAGGAAGCACGACCGGCGCTAGCGATAGCTATCAGCCCGCTGCGGTGGGCGTTGGGGCGAGCGGGGTGTCTCGGCTGGGCTGGAGCGGCGGGGCTCGTGCCGGGGGGGATGCAGCCCAAGCAGGAGCAGAGCCCAGCGCGGGGCTTTCCGAGATGAGGCCAGAAAAGACCGAGCCTGGTACCTCGCTGTAGGGTAGAAAAGAGAAGCAGCAGAGACCCAGCGACCAGGGAGGGTATTGCAGGAGGTGTCCAACGCGGCCCCGAGAAGAGACTGGACGAACCGCAGGCAGAAGGATGCCCTGAGCGCGGCCCGCGGCCCCGAGAAGAGAACTGGACGAACCGCAGGCAGAAGGATGCCCCGGCTCCCTCGCGTGACAGCACAAATCGCTCTCCTGGTAAGGGAGCAGCAGTAGGTGTCCAGGCATCTCGTTTTTCCTTTCACGGGATTTGTGGCCCCAGCTCGCGTCGCCGGGTGGCCGGTGCTGCCCGCGGTGCCACGGCGGCAAGTAACGGAGCACGCGCACGGCTCTGACTGCGGACAGGAGGCAGCGCTGCTGGCTTCCAAAACTATTTGGAAGTATCGCGTGTTTGCCCTGTTTCTGAGCACCCTTCAGTGAGCCTGGGCTGGACAGACCTTTGATCTTGCTCGATGCACCGTCCTTGTGCCCACGTGTGAGCTGCGGGGGGGGTGCTAAGCTGTAGCTATGGCCGGTGGCTTGGGGATGACCCTCAGCAAGGTGCTGCCGACCCGGGCTTGGTGTGGGCAGATGCAGAGGAAACCATGTGATTAAAAAAAAAATAAATAAAAAAATCATGACTGTACTGCTGTGCAATAGTTAGTAGTTGTACTAACCAAGATGTTAAATCCCAAATTTTAACCCCCAATGGCATTGTGCCGTCTTGGGCTCATCGGCAGAGTTTTTCCATCTCGGATTTATCCCTTGGGTGGGAGCGGTTGTCGGCCGCCACCGTTTCTCTTCTCTCACGCTGAAGGTTGGATGGGCAAGACCTTCACACGAGCACCGACCGCCAGCCGCAGCCCCGGCCACCAGCTGCTGGGCACCACGCGAGCTGCGAGCACCGCACCGCTCGGACCTGACCGGAGACGCTCGCCACCGGGCAGGGAAGGGAAGGTGGTCCCGTTTCCCTCCGCCAAGGGAACGTCTGCCCGGGACCGAGTCAGCGCCGGCGGCACCGCGCGCGGCCAGCGCTTCCCAAACCCCCCGTTGGAGGCTTCCCGATGCAGGTGGGTGTCGGGCCCCCGCCCAGATGAGGAAAGGAGAAGCGCAAAGGGTGCAGAAGCAAATGGGAAGCGGGGTGAAATGCAGCGCACCTTTCCCTAACGGGATCAAGCGTTACTCCGGGTCTCCTCTCAGCACAAGAGCTGGCTGCTTAAAAATAGGAAAAAAATGATGCGGATCCCATCGATCCGGACCGCGGTAAGGATGGGGGGGGTGTCCAAAGGGAAGTTGTGAACTAGGATGGAGAACAACGGATGATGAGCCCTGTTGTGGTGCGTGAGGCTCTGGCTGTGTCGGGGACTTGGGGGGGGGGGGGGGGGGGGGGGGGGGGGGGGGGGGGGGGGGGGAGGCTGGAGCTCTCTGAGGACTTAGGGAGACGCAGGGGACGGGTCCGCTCTGCCTCTGCCCTTGGTGACCCTGACATAGGTGGGAGGGAGGGAGCAAAGAGGCAGGGGACGACGCAAAGCCGGGGGGGTCCAGGCTCTGAGAGCTGCAGCCTGGGTGAGCACCGAGAGAGGGGAGGGGACGACGTTTGGCGGAAAGCCCAAGGCAGGGAGCACATGGAGGGGGTGACGGGACTCGGGGATGGACCTGCCCAGGAAAGAGGTAAACTGAGGCTGATGCGTTTGGGGGTGGCCAATTGCATCTGGACGCTCCCCACAGCCCCGTTCTGTCCACGCTGGGGGCAGGGACAAGCTCTGGAGGAGGTGGGCTGGGATGTGCCCCAGCTCAGTCTCCCCTTCGCTGCCTCCGCCCGCGTCCACTGGCTCCAAGCCCAGCGCAGCCCAGCCCGGGGAGGGAGCACCCAACGGGTGGGGAAGTTCCGTCGGGGCATCGCATCAACCCTCTGCATGACGGCAGGAGCCGGCAGGGCTGTGGGCAGCCCCTCGGCTCCCCCAGCCACTGGGCCCCCCAGTTCCTCGGCCCCCCTCTCACCTTGCCCATGTCCGAGGCGGTGGCCTCCAGGATGTCCTGCTTCTTCTCGTCCAAGAAGCGACCCAGGGCCTCCAGCTGGGCCACGCGGTACTCCATGGGCCGCGTCTTCCCCGAGAGCCAGGCTGCCCGCAGGCTGCTCACCAGCCCCGCGTAGGGGTTAGCGCTGCGGGGACGGGGATGTCAGAGGGATCCCAGCCCCTCGCGCTCCCAGTGACAAGGGAGAGGAGCTCCACGACACCCCAGCCCGGCATCACACCGAAGCCCCGGGGAGAGGGCAGAGCATCCGCACCCCTCCCGTCTCCCCTCTGTCCCGGCCACACGCTCTCACCTCGTGGCATCGCCGTCCACGCTCCCCTTCCCGCCACCACCATCGTCCTCGGCAGCTTTCCCGGCCCCACTGCCCGGGGGCTGCTGCCGGGGGGTCGGGGGGGGCTGCCGCATGCCGGGCTGCGGGAAGACGCTACCGGTCTCCATGGTCCCAAGGGAGCGGCACGGGGCGGGTTACGCCGGGGCTGCCCGCGGGCTGGGCAGGCTGGCGGCCGGCC